AATACTGTTCCAAAAATGTTCTGTAATGAACAAAACTTTTAAAAATTTGGAAGAAGGAAAAACAAAAAAAAAAAGAAAGATCTTTCTTTGGGACTGGCTCAGAAAGCAGCGGAGCCCTTGAGTGACAAACCTCATGCTCAGAATGTCTGCAGCATTCTCTGAAACCTGCTGTGTACTCAGAAGGAATAATATTTCTAGCTGCTTTTCTTTTCTTACAGAAGACTGTGAATTCCCTGCTATGGAAACCACACTTTTTTTTTTTTTAATGGGAAAACTTAATAACTGGGTATAACAGCAGGACTGAGAACCGGAAGAAACAGATATAGGAAGAAAGGGGGAGGGAGGGGCAGAGAAGAAAAGATATGGGAAGGAAAGAACAAATTTAGGTTTGAGGGAGTGAGAGACTGGCTTTTTGTTTGGTTGGTTTTGTTTTTAATACTGAGGATTGCACCCAGGGCCTCGTGCATGCTAGGAAGCGCTCTACCACTCAGCTACACTCTCAGCCCTCTGAAAGGATGTTTGTCTTTTTTGTTGTTGTTGCTGATTCCCTTCAAAATCCTCAGTATCACAAGACCTGAGGAGATAATTTTTATTCTTTAATGATATTTATTGGTTTTAGCCCAGTCTGTTTACAATTAGTATCCCAATATCAAAACCATGCTTTGAGGCTGAGGCTGTAGCTCCGTGATGGAGCACCCACCTAGCATGTCTGAGGCCCTGGATTAAGTCTACAGCACCAGGTGGAGGGTGAGGACAGCTTTCTTAGAGCAAGTCCAAAATGTTACTGGAGGTCAGCATAAGCATATCTTGAACACATTAACATTATCCCTAGAGGTCATTCCTCCAAAATGAGATGGCAACACATCTCTCCTGTCTCCCTCATAGCACCCTCTCTCCTGCCTCAGTGGTGGGGTCCCAGCGGTGCATGGAACTCCCCCCTAGGCCCATTCAGTCCTGCTCTACTCAGGGTATTTCCTGCCAAGGAACTGTTGGTGCCAATAACTAGTAACTGCTGTTATTCCCAGTATGGACTCTGTACATTTTGAAGGAGGAAAATAATCCTTATCCTAAAAGGAGAGAGGCAAAAAAAAACAACAAAATCAAAGCAAAAACTAAAGGAGAATGCAGCCATCATGATCTAGAAGAACAAAGATGATCTGCCCCCTGCCATGAACTCAGACACAGAGGATGGGGTTTCAGCCACCCTTCAGGTCTCAGCCCACAGGGAGGAGCAAGCCTAGCTCCTTCGTGAAGGAGCTGCGGCCTACCAGGTTCAAGGCCAGAATGTTGGTCTTCGTGAAACAGACCGTGACCTGCGGGAGGAAGCTGTTCATTCACACATTGCAGAAGACGAGCTTCCACCAGGCCGGGGACCAGGGCCCTTAGTAGTGCAAAGAAATCAAACTGCTCATTCTGGACATTAAAAAATAAAAACAGCAAAAATGCCTGACTCCACAAAAGATGCTGTCTGAAACGTATTTCCTGTCACAGCCACCTGCCTTTCCATTTGGATTCTGGGTTCTGTCTCATTAAACACAAGAGTTGATTCAGTTGAGTCCGTCTAATTATTCTTATTAAAATATGTAACCATAATATTTTAATTGTAAATTAAAGTTGCATGCATGAATGAATCTGAATTCATTTTAATTTTACAATGGCCCAATGCCAAGGCCTTTTTATGGGGAAGATCCATCAGCTCAGATACTGCTGTCCTGGGAATTCAAACCAATGTGCAAATGGAACGTGTTTAACTAACAAGGGAGACTCTCACTCCCTTTTCTCTTCTCCCTAGATTTATTACAGTAATAAAGCTGTTCTAACAAGAAAGACTGCATTTCCCAAATCTTTAAAAAAAAAAACAAAAAAAAACACCAAACTTCTAGGTTGGCACTACCAGTTATGTAGAACCATCTGAATGTCAGACTATCTGAATCTTGAACAATGATGGCAAATAGGTCTTAATTCACAGGCCAACCTCATGATTCATAAGTAATATCTGTCATGGGTATTAAGTGGAGAGTAACTATGCAAATATTGTATCCTTGGGATAGATTCTACAACAATCAGTAATACTGCATTTGACCCTTACATGGGTGATAAGGCGGAACCTGACTTATTTTCCACTAAACAACAATCAGCCACTAGGATACTGAAAGGCTCAACCAAAACCTCCCCTATTCTAACAGGCATTGACTACAGAGTGCTGTTAGGGTAGGCAGGGGGTAAGGGAGGCCATAGAAAGCCTCTCCTTGATTCTAAGCTGAGGCCTGAAGGAGAAGGAGGCGTTCGCAGGTCACCACATTATGGAAACTGAAGGAAAAGATAGTTCCAGGAGTGGGGAAAACATCTGAGAAAATCCAGGCGACAAGAGTGCATAGAGCATTCAGGCTACAAAATAAACTCTAAAATAAGGAGTAAGAAGGGCCCTGGTGTAGGATAGGGAGCAGGAGGAGGTAAGTCTGGAGAAAGAATCTGACTTGAGCCCTGCAGGGCTTATAAGCCACGTGTCCAAGTTCTGACTCTGCTCTAAGAACATGGATTAGAGGTCAGATCATTCCAGCTATATGTAGAAATGGAAGGATGGGTGGTCAATTATAGTACATCCAGGATCTAGCCTTGGTGCATTTATTTCTTGCTGAGAAGCTAAAGTAAATTTTTGAACATTATACCTCTTTCTGCTTGCAGTATTTTTTTCCTTTTCCATTTAAAAACTTTCCATCTTGGGGCTAGGGTTGTGGCTTGGTGGCAAAGTGCTTACCTTGCCACATGTGAGGCACTGGGTTCGATCCTCAGCACCACATAAAAAAAATAAATAAACAAAATAAAGATACTATGTCCCTCTATAACTTAAAAAAAAAAAAATTTCATCTTAAAATTCCTTTATGTTGTAATATTAATATGTGGGATAATATTAATGTATATTTATAAGAATGGACATTTTCAAGGGCAAAAACATACTTTCTTTATGTAGGCGACTAAAACTGATGTCTGGTTTTTAGTCATTGAGTTGGGGTTTTTTTTTTTTTTTTGGTACTGGGGATTGAACCCAGGAGTACTTTACCACTGAGCTATATCCCCAGCACTTTTTATATTTACTTTTGAGACAGGGTCTCACTAAGTTGCTTAGGACCTCAATAAGTTGCTGAGGCTAGCCTCAAATTTGCAATCCTCTTGCCTCAGCCTCCCAAACTGCCGGGATTCTAGGCATGGATCACCATGCCCAGATCATTGAGTGACTCTATAATAGAAATCAAGCCCTCTCCCACCCCACCAAAGTTGCTTATAATCAGAAAAAAAAAAAAAAAAAAAGCCTTTGCTGCTTTCAAGGGTAGCCATCCTCACCCCACCTCCCAGGAAGAAAACTTTTAAATGTGCCTCTGGAACAGGGTTGGTGGTGGGCACAAGCCCACTCCCCTGGTTCTTTCTTCTTCTTTTTTTCTTTGCAGTCCTGGGTATTGAACCCAGGGCCTTGTGCATACAAGGTAGGTACTCTACCAACTGAGCTATATCCCCAGCCCCAAGCCCACTCCTCTGGACAGCCAGCCTGGTATTGGGAGGCCTGTGCAGATGTGTTACAAAGAACTCTCCCTATCCAAAGAGGTGTGGACTCCCTGGCAACTGGGAGACGGTACTCTCTAGACCTGGGGAGTCCCGCCCAAGTGACTTTGTTTGCCTCAGGATTTGGCCACTGGACAGTCTAACAACATGATTACCACAGGTACTTTGGGCCATGCTGTATCTGTTCTGACCTCCAGAAGAAATGGAGATTAAAGGTACAGTTGGCTCTCAATGGGACTCAGTCACTCTCCATATCTGTGGGATCAAGTATGGATCAGAAATATTGGAAAAAGAAAATTCCACATCTCCACTAAACACATCCAGACTTTTTTCTCTGATCATCTGTCTCTAAACCATACAGTGTAACAACTACTTACATAGCACTTACATTGCATTTGGCATTATAAGTAGAGATGATTAAAACATGGGTTATGTGCAAATACTAAGCTGTGATAGTAAAAGCAAATGTGACTCCATTTTGTTTTGTGACTCCATTCTGTAAAACAACTATGCCAAGGAGAAGGGTCATGACTGGGGCAAGAAGTTCTTTTCCTTTTGCTATAGAAACCTTTAAGAACACGGAACTACCTAATGGGGCATTGTTTCTGTAACTAGGGTAACTGGGGTGATTGGGCTAACTGTGATTGGTTAGGCTTCCCGCCGCTTGACTGCACTCTCCCGCTTCTGTAACCTGGCTTGCTTGCATTGGCTAAACCCTTTTGCGGTTTTCAGGCTTATAAGGAGCCCCCTTGCAATTGTTCGGGGCTGATCAGGGGAACAGTTTTATGTTCTAGTCAGTCACCACTAGTGTGCTTCAATAAAGGCTTGATTCGATTATATGTGAGTGGTCTGGAAGTCAGTTTATGAAACCCCGGGACAAAGCTTTAACTATAACAATGCCATTTTATACAAGGGACCTGAGAATCCTCAGTTGTTGATATTCATGATGGGTCCTAGAGCCAATTTCCTATAGATACCAAGAGGTCAAGTGCTAGCTTGACACCTAGATGAAGGCTCAGGAGTTACATTCTGGAAAGGACAGCCTTGCCTGAGCTCTGTGGGGGAAGGGGGAGGACCAAGGTCCAAGAGGTAACAGGCAGAGCAAAACTGAAACTAATGGCAGAGTCCCCCAGTTGTTTCCCAAAGGTGGGCGCCATTCAGGGATGAGTCAACAGAGTAGAAAACCAAGAAGACAGACCAGAGGGAGACAGTGCTGAGTCACAAGACAAGCAGTGGGCGGCAGAAATCCTCTGCAGCTTTGTCACTGGAACCAAAATATGAAGGTCACAGATGCTCCTATAGTGGGGAGTGGGGAGCGTACAGGAGGGTGGGTCATCGGCCCTCTTCTGAGAAGCCACAGGTTTATTGTTAATGAATGAAGCACTAATCTACAGTGCGTCAAATCACACAGGTGATTTATATTCAGATTTATGATAACATACCTCTTTCTGTTGTTCTGGAAACATCTTCACAGGACACGATCAATCTGAAAAATAAAATGTCAACATTAGTGATACAGAACCTCCACACAGGAGTAGACATGCCTCTTGTGGCCTCCCTCAGACCCTCACAGGGGAATCTCTGCTCCTCCCTCGCTCTCACCTGCTGCTGATCTGATGAACATCAGTCCACACTGGGCATGGGAGTGTGGACTGTGGCCAGACCAAGGCAGTCAGATAATGACAGATCCTCAAACTGCAAGGCCAATCAGGCTGGAGTCAGAGCCTTAGAGAACTGAGGGAGGCTAGAGATATTGGGGAGTGGGGGGTCATGAAATTTGGGGAAGGGGTGCCAGTAGGCAGCAATGAGACAGACAGGAAGGAATAGGAAATGATACGCAGAGAGATCCACCCTGTGGAAAAGCCCCAGTATTTTTATTGGAAACTCAAACCAAAGACCAGGTCATTTTTGTGACACTTAATCTACCCCAAATGTCAGATGAGATGTGGTGGGGCCCAAAGAGGGGTGAGAGGACCTTGACTAGGACCTGCCAGTCAACACAGCCAGCCTGTCATTTGATTCTGGACCCCGTATGTCCCTGGGGTTGTTCTATTGATATTTAAACTCCGTTTATTACATAAGCTCATTGGAGTTAACCCCTGATCCCTACTTTAAAAAATTTAATTCCCTCCCTCTATCCACACGTATGTACGTGTTCTTACAACAGAGCTATGACTGCAGGATTGCTATTTCCTTTATGTTGATAAGACTAAACCCATTTTCTAAGAATTGTCATTCACAAATCTTTCCAGAGTTTCTACTAACGTCTTGGTACTGTGGGTAGGGAAGAGGCAGAACACAAGCTCCAGCCTCCAGGCCCACGTGGAGTCACTGACAAGATAACCCAACCTGCGTGGAAAGTTCTGCCACAGAGGAACAGTGTACCACTCCGTGAGCTGCAGGCAGGCAGGTAGGTTTCCAGGGAAAAAGAAGTTCCTCTCTCCTAGAGAAGTCAGTAGAATCCAGAGAAAAGGCAGGGGGCACCTGTGGAATCTCAATGTTCAAAGAAAAAAGGGGGGGGGGGAGGCTGCCAGGGAGACAGAGGTGTGACAATGACTCACATAGATGATGACAAAAAACATGATGTTTGGTCAAGAGATGGTGACCGAGCCAGATCAGCCGAGAGACAGGGTTCTGGGAGGGTAGAGTTGAATTGTGGCTGCCACAAAGATATGTCCAAGTCCCACTCCTGATACCTGTGAATGTGATCTTATTTGGCAAGAAGGTCTTTGGAAATATGAGGCATGGAAGGATCTGCCCCCATGGCTTCCAGAGGGAGCATGGTCCTACTGACACACTGATTTTTGGACCTCTGGATTCCATGATTATGACAAAATAAATTTCTAGTTTTAAGTACCACATTTGTAATAATATAGGAAAGTATTATAAAGGGGATTTCTGGGGAGTAGACTGGAAAGACCAGCTGGGGCTGTCACCAGGGCGAGGAACTCATGCATTGGTTCATAAGTAAGTACGATGGAGCTGATACCATGCCCTGTGCATGGGGTGAGAAAGGTGGCTACTTCCAGGGGCTTCCAAAAGCTGTGTTAATTTGGAATCCTCAGAAGCTTATCACCTACCCTTCAAAAAGAAAACCTCTTCACCCCTGTCCCCAGAGTTCCTGTTCAGAGGTTCCTCCAGAGTACATTGGTATGTGCTCTGTCCATACCTGGGCCTTACTAGTTCACTGCCCAGCAGGGGAAAGTCTGGCCATGCTGAACTAGAGGTGGGAGGTTCAGAGGAGAGCAGAGCAGGCCCAGAGGTTCAATATCTACACAACTGTAAGGTAGGAAGGATGTGAAAGGACTGGACAGAGCACCCTGTAACAAGAACAGAAGAACATACAACAAGGATGAATCCAAAGGCTATTAGGCCAAGTGAAACAAGACAGTCACAAAAAGACGAACACTGACGAAGCCCCCAGAGTAGTCAGAGACGGAAGTAAAGTGGTGGTTGCCAAGGGCGGGGGAGAGGGAGAACAGGAAGTTGTTCAGTTGGTACACAGCTTGTTTCACAAGATGAAGAGTTTTAGAGATTGGGTGCACAACACTGTACACTCCCAAATGGTTGTGATGGTGTATCTTATATGTATGTATTTTACCACAATTAAAGCAAACTTTTAAAGACTGGAAGGACTCAGGAGAAAGAGGCTTTACTGAGGAAAGCAACACTTAATTCAAGACCTAGCAGACAGTGTGATTTAGCCAAGGAAACAAAAGAAGAAAGTTGTTCTAGGCTGAGGGACTGGCCAGAGCAAAGCGGCAGAGGGTAAGAAAGAAGAGCACATCAGGCATTTGGGTTACCCATGGAGTCCTATGTGAGAGGGAAGCTGGACTTCCCATATTCTCAGGATCTGTGCTTCTATAAACCACATGCTGCACACAGACGTCCGTCTGCCCAGGTGGATCCTCTGCCCACAGACCTCCACCCTCCAGTCACCCCACTAACTCCACTCTTCCGTGATTCTGCAAAAAACCACTTCCCCTCTCCTGCCCCAGCTCTCTGTCCCCATTACACAACCACTTTGTGCAGTTCCCCGCTTACATTAACCTTGGTGGTGGCATGAGATCTGTATATTCTGTCTTCCCATTTGACTGAATTTCCCCAACAGAGAAGATCTATGCTTTTTATGTAACTGAACTTCACCACCATCCTGTTAGGGGGTGAGGGTGAGTATCCTCACTCCACAGATAAGAAAATGGAAGGTCAGAGAGATTCAGCTGCCTAAGGTCTTCAAGTGAGTGAGCAAGTTCAAGTCTAGTTTCTACTTAAGCCCATCTGCATACCAATTCTGGTCCCTCCAGTGCCTGAGGCTGCCCTTGTGAAGGTGTGATATGAACATACTTCATTCTCCCCATAGGGCATGAGCTTTCCTCACCCAACACAGAAGGTAGAGGTGGATTCATACCCTGCCTCATGGTGGAGAGGGCCTTTGTAAGAGGAGGGGAGACAAGTATATTTATTAAGGAAACAATTTTTGTGTCTTTCTTTTCTTTGCGGTTAGGAATAGTCAATCCTTAAACAAAGTCCTTGACCCTGTATACCTTATGGATATAGGCCAGGTTCCAAGAGCTGGGGGCCTGAGCCTCAGAACAGAGAGAGAACAAATATGTGTATCTTTCTGGTCTTTCTCTCCATGTCTCACCATCTTGCTTTGACATTGCCTCCTCCAATGCACTTTCACCCTGGTCTTATAGCCATCATGACAGCACATTACCTTTTTAATGTTGAAGAGACTCCACCATGGGACAACTCTGCCCAAGGAAAAGCATCCGTCACCTACCCTGTTCCTTTCCCAAGACAATTCTGCCTCCACAGAAAGCTATTACTATAGTTTGGATCTTAAATGTCCCCCAAAGATCCATGTGTTGAAGGTTTGGTCTCCAGCCTGTGGTGGAAGTAGGAGATGGTGGACCCTATAGAAGGTGAGGCCTAATGCAAGGAAGTTGGGTCACTGTGAAGATGCCCTTGGAGGGGATACCGGGATCCTGGCCCCTCCTCTTTTTCTTTCTCTTCCTAGCCACCATAAAATGAGTGTTTTCCTCTCCGACACATTTCCCCCATGATGTGCTCCTTGCCACAGGCCCAAAAGCCATAGAACCAACTGACCATTACTAAAACCTCTGGAAAAGTGAGCAAAACAACAACAAAAAAAAAACCTTTCTTTCATGTTACTTATCTATCTCAGGTATTTTGTCACAATGACAGCTGACTAACAGCTATTTTACAAGAAAATTACAGACAGAGTCGAGGTATACAGGAGAGAGATGGGGTGAGACAGGAACCTCAGAGAGCACTGGGGAGAGGACCTGAGTGAGGAGTTGGCTGAACAGTATAGACCACTTTCAGAAGGACCTAAGAAAATGGGGTGAGAAAGGTGGCTACTTCCAGGGGCTTCCAAAAGCTGTGTTAATTTGGAGTCCTCAGAAGCTTATCACCTACCCTTCAAAAAGAAAACCTCTTCACCCCTGTACCCAGTTCCTGTTCGGAGGTTCCTCCAGAGTACATTGGTATGTGCTCTGTCCATACCTGGGCCTTACTAGTTAGTTCACTACCCAGCAGGGGAAGTCTGGCCATGCTGGGAAGTTGGTATTATGCCCATCTTCCTCCGTTGGAAGATGGCCCAAGGCACTAAGGGCCCCACAGAGGCCCCTGGGACACACAGAGGAATCAGGTCCTAGTAGTATGTTTAGTAAACAACTCCCCACCCTTACATAAACAGAAAATCAATATGAAAATTTTTGAGGAAATAGTGAAAGATATAAGCACATAAAAATTTAAATCAGTGCATGTTTCAAAATAGAAACAATAAAAATAATGTAGTATATGACAAAGATTAATATTTTTTAATTATTAATCTTTGTCAGATACAAATCCATACCTAAATATTTTTGTAAAATGTAGGTAAAGGCCAGGTGCAGTGAGTGGCACATGCCTGTAATCCCAGCAGTTTGGAAGGATGAGGCAAAAGGATTGTGAGTTCAAAGCCAGCCTCAGCAACAGTGAGGTGCTAAGCAACTCAGTGAGACCCTGTCTCTAAATAAAATACAAAATAGGGTTGGGGATGTGACTCACTGGTTGAGTGCCCCTGAGTTCAATCCCTGGTACCCTCCCCACCCCCACAAAAAAAAAGAAGTGAGCAAAAGTTATCAACCCACAAAAAAGAAGAAACAACAAAAGATGGCTAAATACAAGTTATAGGAGGCTGTTGATTTGGACTGAGCTCCTGCACTGAGCCCAACAAACCAATCAAACCAGAATGGAGTCACTCCTGCTAAGTGCCACAGGGTCCAAATGAACTTTTAAACAGGTTAGTGTTCAAAAACAGGAGATTCACAGCCATCAATCAGAGGGGCTGTCTACCTGAGCCGGCATGATCCAGCAGTCCACTCAGTTTTAACCCTATTGGGAAAGTAACTTTGAAACAATCCACTTTGTTCCTTGTTTCTGTTTTCTTCAGCTCTCTGCTGCTTGTAAAGCCAACCT